CGCGGGGCAGCCGTGTCTGTCTGCGAGGGGAGGTGTGGGGGACGGATCTAACTTAGCTCTGGAGCAACGCGCACACAGGCCTTTCCATTCTGCTCCTCCTGGGCGTTAAAGCCAAGCGTCAGCCTTTTGTTAAGGAGAAGAGAGCCAGCACAAAAGGTCCCGGCACGGGTCATAGCAGGAGTGGTCCTGTCTGCTCCGATCCTCGCGGCGGGGCTTTGGAAGTTACCGGGTGGATCCGCACAGTCCTGAGAAACTGCAACATCTGGCAGCAGTGGCAGAAAGGAATTAGGAGTGGAGAATGAAACCTCCCAGGATCCTCCACACCACACGTCCCTCTCCCATCCTGGAGCGGGGGACGGGACACAGAACCCTCCCCTAGCCTTGTTACCTTGGAAACTGTTTATATCACAGCTGCTTTTACATATATTCTTTAAAAAAAAAAAAATTGAAGCTGTAGCTGAATGAAATGATTCCAGACACTGCGTGAGCAACACTACGGGTAACTATGGCAGTGCCATTACAGAGGCAGCTGGAAGGAGTTTGTTCTCTTCAGGATCCTTTTAAATTAAATTAGAGATGGTCTCTCTTTCTCTAACACACATGCAGGCAGCAAAGAGCGCTAATCAGGCTGAGAAGTTGGAGCAATTCCTGCCACAGGAAGCCCTACAAGCACCAGGGAATGCATTTCTCTATAGCTGCAGAATAGAGATAAGCCAGTTTCTGCCCCAAACAATTTAAAGACGGGGGAGAAGGGAGGGGGTGACACCCAGCGTACCAATCGATGTCTCGCCTGCGTCTCCCCAGGGCAGTCTGTACAATTCTGTGGCGTGGACATGCGGAAGGAAAGAAATCTGCGACTGAGAAACATGCAGAGGAGGCGCAGCTGAAGAATAAAACAAATGAGTGCATTCCGCAGCAATGCCCCTACGAGGAAGCATGGTGGCCATGGCTGCGTGGCGATCGAAAGTCGTTCTCCCTAATGACATCTGCAGAGCAGGCCGTGGGGAAGGCTGCTCTGGTGGTTTCAATTAAATCTGAAAATGGCCAAAATGCAAGCAATCCTCAGCCGGCGGTATCCCGGCCTGCCCCACGCGTGCGCGCGTTACACAACAGATGTACAGGACGTCTTGTCTGCAGCAAAGCCTCAGCATACGCTGGACCCTGCCCTTCTCTGGAGGCTTCGGCCAGGAGAACAGCTCCACTTGGCTGCAAGGGCGAGGGATCAGCAAGCACCCAAGCAGTAGCTGAACCCAGAGATCCATCGTCAGGGCAAGATCATGACTGTTCTCAGGCCATGCGGAGTAAACCCAGCCCAGGTGACATCCAGAACGGGGTATTCTGACCGCGCATCTGTTCTTCCACAATAAGGAGCAGCTGCAGCAGTGACATTTCCTTTGGAGACCCCCCTGAGCTGACGTGGCTCGATCGATGCGTGCTGCTCAGCGGCGGCTCCCAAAATCCCCAGGAGGGCACCGAGGTGCCGGACCCCGTGTTCAGGTCAGAGACTCTTCTGGCACTCTCCCACGTTGCAAGCAAAGCCGTTAAAGCAGCAGCCATCATGATGTGCCTGAAGTGCTGATCAGCACTGTGTCCTCCAGTGTTCTGAAGCTGAATTAGGAGCCAAAGGGACAGAAATGGTCGCCCAGTATCACCAGATAAAGTAGTTCAGGACAGTCTGGTGAGTTGAGGCAGAGCTGCAGAAAACATGCTGAAGAAAAGCAACACCTCTGAAGGTCAAGGCTCTCCACTTCAGCTGGAGACAGCCCCGCCAAGGGCACTGTCCCTTCACAGCTTTCTTGCCTGCAGACAGGCCAGCCCCTGCCTGCCCACACACCAGTTCGCTCTCTAGCCAGGCATGGGCAGCGGCTGACAGTACGACCCTGCATCTCGCCGATTTGCTTCTTCACCTGAAAGGAAACTCCACCCCAGACTCCAGGACGACGCGAGGGAAGGAAATCCAAGGCTTGTTTTCCCCACTCATTTCCCTCCCGGCTCCAAGTGTCCCATACAATAACAGTGCAAAAGCTGCAGGAAGCTGCTGCCTGTGCCGGAGGACAGACATGCCACCAGCCACAGCCTTGGCTCACAGGTCTGCACTGCCTTTGGCCCAGCCTGCTGCAAGGAGCCCAGCAGAGCTGCAGCAGGCACTGGCAAGGTCAGGCTTAACGCACAGGGAAAAACTACTTCAACACCTCCTCTTGCTCCTCACCTGCCTGGCTGTCACTTTTCCAAAATGCAATTGTATCAGGCAAGGTCTGGAGCAACCTCGCCTCTCCCCCTGGTTATCGGTGATGGGACTGCTGCCCTTGCGCAGCTCTCGCACGGAGCAGTTGCACAGTGCTCCCTGCCAGCCCTCTCCCACGCAGATGGAGAAGACAGCACAGACCCCACAGGGGAAACGTAGGCAAAATGCCCGTCAGTCAGCTGAAAGCCAAAAGCCCCAGCCAGCCTCGGATGGAAGCCCACGTGCTGAGATCCTGCCACAGGACACGGTGGTAACGCACACCCGGGGTGGTCGGCAAGCCCCTCGGCAGCGTGACTTCTCTGCAAGGTCACGACAGGCTCTGGAGGAGCTGCACGTGGTGGGTGGAAACAGTCACAAGAACGGTGAGCACGGGAGCTCTCGGCGGCAGTCGGCACCACGTGGGGATCTAATTCCAGACTGATGGGGCCATTTCTCCAGCCAGCTCAGCTCTCATCACAACGCAGCCGTTCTCCTTACAATCTCCAGAGGCAACTGCACGCACTGATACCCAGAGCCCTCTCTTGCAGGCACAAGAGGGAAAGTATGTAACCGATCCAACAGAACAAATTCCCCAGGCAAGGCCAAGCAGGCACAGATAGTCAGGCTGCCACCAGCCTCGCACATCTGTACAAGGTGCCCCAGCCAGGGACGTTTCTTCCTTTTACACCTCCCCAGACAGAAAGTGCACTTTCCACCCTCCTGCAACACCAGGGCACGCAGCCTGCCGGAGGGCTGGCTCCGAGCTGCATGCTGCTCTGCCCATTACTCGCAACAGACCTGGCATCCCAGGCTTGCCTTCAAGCAGAGGGCTCTGCCACCAGCGGGTCGTGATCTGAGCAAATGGGAAACAGTGAGACCAAACCTGCTCCTTTTAAATTATGACCGGATTACAACACAAACACTGGATGACGAGCCCTGAAAACTGAAAGCAGCATAACCCTCTAAGGCAGACATACAGGTCTCAGAAAATGGACCCACAACCGCTCGCTGTGTTTGATGTAGCTTTTCCAGCATAGGGTAACAGGAGCATCAATCCTCTGCTGAAATGCCTTGGCTTATCCCCAAACCTCCTCATCCGAGCAGCCTATGGACAGGTCCTGCCACAGCTTCTTTGCCCATCAGGCCATATCACTTCAAAATGAAGGACCGAGAAGTATTTCTTGTCAGAGCAACACTAGCTAAGTGCCACGGGGAAAAACCCACTTCAGGCAGGAGGCCTCGCTGGTGCAACTGTGCGTGTTAAATCTTGAACCTACTGCAAGCAGCCAGCCATCGCCTTCCCCTCCGCGTGGCATGGCCTCACAACCAACCGCTCCGAGCAGGGGAGGCTACAGTGATCTGCAGCCGGCATTACAAACCCAGAGGATTCACCTTTGGTGTGTGGTTACCTTCTGCAAAGGCCTAATACTGGAAAGCGCAGAGCCGGGCGAAGGCTGAGGCTGGCTTTCTCTCTGGGGCAAACTACACCCACGCAGGGAACAGATACCGGGAGACTGAAGGTAAAGGTATTGCACAACGCCAGCTCCTACTGTCTCTGCGGCAGTGGGTTTCAAACCTCTTTACTGCTCTTAGCAATGCTCCAGGAGGAAACAGAATGAATGACCTAAAAAGCCCGGCAGAACACTGGTGTTAAGCTTGGTATGCAACTGATACAAGGAGCTGAATGCACCCAGATCTCCACCAACGCGGCTGGCTCCTGGCCCTAAGCCCTCTGCAGAGGACGAGGTGGAACAAGGACCTCTCCCTCTCCAAATCCAGTCTCCTGCTGCTCCTGTAACCTGGCATCAAAGCCAAGAAAGTTTCACAAGAGCTGCCAAGCAGCTCATGCCCAGGAACTATCTCCCAGCTCCCCATGACTATTTCTTCTTTACATAGCTAAAAGTAGATAAGATTTCTGATAGCAAACCTGCTTAAGAGCAAGCCCACCTTTCTGCAGATTTCTCTAAATATGACTTTTATCAGAAAAAACAGAGAATAGCCAAAGCAATCCTTGTTTTGAAGTACAGCCAGGGGCTTTTCTGCCTTGCCTTTTCTTGGCTGGCTTGGGCAAGGCAAATTACTGATGTGGGCCACACGGTGGGGTAAGGCAGAGCTGCAGCCTGGCTCTTCCACAGAGATTTCTCCATTGCGAGGTGAACAGCTCAAAAGAAACGCGAGGGGAGAGAAATGTGATTTGGGACTAAGTCCCCTCACCTAGGGACCTCCCAGAATCCAGCTGAGCTTCCCACACAGCCCCCAAGGACCCACCATAAGCAAGACGGAAAGCCACACTCACCCCACGCTGCCTGAGATTTGTTACTTACACTGATTGCATTTTGGGGATGTCTGGGACTTCCTCCTTTTTCTTGCGGAAGAAGAACCAGTAAGTGAAAAGCCCGATGATGAGTGATATGAGAAACACATCCGTCATGCTGAAGAGAGAGTCTTGCTGTCCAGTGTTGTCGGGAGGGGAGATGTTTGGTTCCATGCCAGCATCCCCCATGACGGTCAGAGGCACTGTAAACAAGGAAAACACATGAACACCAACAGTCACACAGTGCTACAGAAGACCAGAAGAGCATTAAGGGCCTTTCAGCGCGTGCTTCTCCACTATACTCTTAGTCCCAGGAGCACAAGGCAGCCTAACAACTCTTTGGAGACAGGCTTTGCACCACAATACCACGAGATCTTTTTGCATCCCAAGGTATCTCACTGTCCCACCAAGATTTTCCCTTCCCGTTGCAGCCATGCTCATCCATCAGCAGTGATTTCTGCTCTCCCTCTACCACCACCATCAGAGCAGCCCCACATTCCAGCCAAGGAGCCCAACCTGGCTCCTACTAATGCCCCAGCAAAACTCAGCGGGGACTCATGGCCAGACTTTACTAAAGCCCTTACCACGGAGCCCACGTGGTGTTAGTGGGGGAAGACCCCACTCTTCCAGTCACCCCACAGTTCTGGGGCTTTCTCCCTCCTTTCCACAAGGTGATACCCTGGACCTACTGCTGTGGTTATACACCGTGGAGCAGGACTACGGCATGGTACTTCTGTGAGCATCCCCACATTAGGTTGTTACAACACAAGTGATGAATACTTCTGATTTACTATCCACCTCCACGTGCAGATTGGATTTACTATCCAACTCTTTTTTGGGCTTCTGGCTTACCAGTCCACTCCACTGTCTTCCCCAGTTTAACTTCCACCTCCTTCAATTGGTCCTTTCAGCTTACCCACGCAGAGTTCAAGTGACTTGTGACTTCCCCATGGCCTTACCCAGAGCCCGCGTTAGCACAAGGACTAGCAACCGGCCCTCCAGCCCCCGACTAGCCCTGTGGCCCCTGTCCTTCCCCGGGGAGCCACCCATCGCTCGCTCCCTCCCTCCCAATGCTCTGCCAAAGCTCTGCACTCCTCTGACCCTAGTCCAGATCGCAAGATTATTTTCCGAACGCACAAGGACACACTCTGTCCAAGCAAACAGATAATTAACTCAAAACTTGATTTGTAAGGGCAAAGTGACTCTTCTTGTACTTGGGCATCCTGCCAACCCAGGAGACCATGGACATTTGAACTTGCACACAGAAAAGTGACTCAGAGCTGTGGGGTGCCACGGGAGAGGAAGGATATGTCCCGTGGCTGACCTGCAAGGTGAGAGTTAACCTGTTCATCACACCCACGCCTGCTGGAGAAAAGCTCCCAGACAGCTGAAGGAGAATCAGCAAACTCCAAGTTGTGCCTGGGCTGAGAAATAAAACTGACTGAAATTAAAGCTATGCTAATACATTCAGGAGCTGGGAAGAAAAGGGAAGGCGATGCTTACGGAGCACTAACAAGGGAGACCGGGTAAGGTTTTCAGCAAATAAGAACCCTTTGCTGTTACCCCACCAAGGAAAAGTCCTGCTCTGGAGAACATGAAGTATTCTGCCAGAGGCCACCAGCTATAAAAGTCAGCCCTGCGGAGTGCAGAGAGAAGTCCACAGCCACCTGGCAGCAATCATGGGTGAGCTCCTGGGGTATTATTGCAGCCCGACCAGCTCTCAGCCCCATGAGAAGTTCAATTCAGTGGAGAACTTGGGAAGTGACTGTACTACAAAGGGCACTAAAACACCACTGCAAAGCTTCCCTTTAGGTTCCCAGAGATGATGCTGAGCACGGGGATGGAAGAAAAATGTGAGTGATGCAGCTGCACACAAGCAAATTGCCCATTCCCCTCCATCGGGCAGGTCACCTTGTCCTGCCTCCCTCGCAGACAGGCTCTCCATCGCTGGATCTCAGAGCCAAGCAAGAGCTGGGTGTTATTTCTGTACCACTGTAGACTAAACTGTTAAGTTAAAGCCTCCACAACGGGAGCTTGGTTGCCAACAAAGCACAGTTCCCAGGAGGGTCCCTCTCCTCCTCCGTGCTGGGTTCCAGTAAATCAGTGAGGAGCAGGTCTGGCAACTGACACCAACAGAATGCACTGGTGGGGGGAAAAAACATTGCCAGTTTATTGCCTTCACAAGTCCTCTCCCATGACACATAAGGCAATGACAAACCTCTGCTCAGAGGAAGCCATCAAAAAAAACCAAGGCTGACGGAGACCACGCAAAGCTGGTTTTGGGCAGGAGCTGCACTTCCAAGCACCAGATCCAGCAGTCGCAGCAGCCAAGCCTAGGAAAGCCTCCTGGCACAGAGCACCGCAGCATCCCTTGTAACAAACTGCACGCGGAGGAGAGCTCCAAGCTCGACAGGTCTCGGGTGAGTGGGAGGCAGCCCGGGGTGGAACGCATGCAGGCTGCACACGCCTGGCCCCACAGCAATCCCCCTCCCACCTCCGAAAGCTCAGATGTGGATATTTGCCAGCTGCCCTTAGACAGGGTGAGAGAACAAGCTCCTGGGCTAACGAGCAAGGTGAGGACTACCAGCAGCAATCCATTGCCATGCCCAAAGCAGCAGAGCTTCTGGCCTCCCGGAGCACAGGGGACAAGCAGCGGTGGTCTGCTCTCCCAAGCAGCGATGCCTTGGCAAGAGGCACCCTCGGGAAGGAAGCTCCCAGGAACGCAGCGTGGACAGACGTGGGGGAGGAAGCTGTACTATCTCCTGGCCTTCACCACGCTGCAGCTCTCCAGCGCTTCAAAGGGGAACCCTCCAGCTGCAGCAGCAGCCGGACCACCCGCTCACTCCCCACACCCACAGCCAGAGGGAAGAGCACCATTTCTGGAAGCTTACGGGTCTGGCGCGTGGGCCAGGGTCTTGGTTTGGTCTCCTCTCTTCATTCACAAGTCTCCATAGCATAAAGTTTGTATACTGACCACTAACCCTGGAAGGAAACACTGTTGCTCTCTAGTGATGGAACCAAAGGCACAAGAACGGCTTTAGTTTTGATGATGGGCTCCATCCGGTCCTGGACATGTAGTTATTCGAGTCCTGTATCTTAGCGACAGGTTTTTCTGTTTGCTCCCCACCCTCAGGAAAAGGTTTGCTTAGATGTACCAAGAGAAAGGCAAAGGATGTGGAATTAGACCTCATTTTTTTTTAAAGGGTTGTCATAACACAGGAACTACTACTTTAACTCGTTTCACCTAGCACAGAGGATTATTGCTCGATTTATCTCAGTCTTACCTAGTTGACTGTAACAACTATTTTCCAGAAGTTCACAGCAATTCAAATACATGTTCTTTTCTAACTTCCAGTGAAAAGAAACCTGACTTTAACTATCCTGGAAAACCTGCAGCCTCTGGAAGGACCCTGATAGAATCAGATCAGCTTTTTAAAGGGGAAAATAAATTTATGATGCAGAAGTAAAAGTTCTCCTCACATCCATTCCACAGGTAATTATTTTATCCCCAATGTTTATTATATCTTCAATCAAGAGAAGACAGACTTCCATTTCCTCTTTTTTGTTCCTGGATCCTTGTTTATGCACACAGTATCTGGCGTAAAGCAATCTGTCTCAGCCGAGATGTGAGGCATCTACATCACCCAGGAAAGTCACAACATTTGAAAGACTGCACTCAAGCAACGCCGTATTTCAGAACAGCTTTTCAGCCTCTGAATACAGCTTCTAAACCTGGGAATTTGTTTGATACACGGCAGCTTGCAACCATTCAAGTCACCAGGGACCCTCTCAGCGCATCTCCAGGCTGCCAAACAGATGCACTTCCTTCTCATATTAAAAACCATATTCCTACTTCTCATGCACATCTCAAGCAAAGGACTGGAAGCAGTGAGTGCCAGGCATCCTCAAATTCCCCACAATTTCCACGTGGACTAAAGGCGCCATCACATCACAGCACCAAAAATACTAAAATATAAATGCAAACAGTATTGCAACAAACAAGACGGGATGGGGAGTGCCCTAGAAGCCGAGTGGTCAGCAACCTGAAGAGATCTATCCTTCCCCCTCTCTTGCACGCAGCCGACGGCAGCATTAGGAGATGGCGCAGCAGATGCCCCCAAAAGCATGCTGGAACCCTCAACTCCGACTGGCAGGCACAGCAACACAGTGATGAGACGTGCCTGGGAGGTCTCCCTTTCTGCCAAATCCAAAGATGTTTCTGCGAGCCACACTGTAGCATCTTCCAGCGACCAAAAAGCCTTGTCTCTGAAGCCAAGCTGGTGATTTGGGCAGCAAGTTGGCTCTTTGAGTTGAAAGAGCCCTTTATTTATACAATGCTTGGGATGAGTTTCAAGTATCCTGGGACAATTTGGCTTCCCGGTCCCAGATCAGGACTGCGGCCTGCAACTCTTGCTCCAAAAATGAGCGACCAAGCCCTGTGCCACCATAAGCACGCAGTGACCTGCAGCATCAGCTCTGCTCACACGACAGGGAAAGGAGAAGGAAGACTGCTGACCAGGCACAGCCCCGGGCTGCCCATTGCTCCCAGCTCCCACAACCCCATCCCCAGGCTCCCGCTGATCGCAGCCCGTAGCACCAAGCAGCCCCCAAGTTCAGCTCAAAATGGCAGAGAGGGCTCCCCACGATCCCCACACACCCATGTGCTGACGGGCACGAGTCCCGCTGTGCCCTACGGACTCTGCCTGCCCGGGCACGGCGCAGCACAGAGGCTGCACCCCACCTCCCATGCCCTGAGCTTACCCAAACAGCCAGTTTTCCCAAAGGGAACCAAGCGGCGGCAGCGTCCTTTGGACACATACAGATTAACACAGGAGCTGCAGCCAGAAGCTCTATTTTGCAACACGTGCACGCAAAAATCTGTGACGACTGAGTCAAAGGAGGAATCAAGCGACAAACTCACGCAATGCCATCAGTCACCATCTGCCCAACCCTCGCACCGGTGCCACGCACCACAGGGAGCTCAGCAGGGCACAGGCAGCCAAGGCTTCCCCAGCACACACAAGGTCCAGGCCGTCTCTGCTAAATGCTGGCAGGGACAGCAGGTAGGGACAGCAGGTAGCCGGTGTGAAGTCAAACCATGGTGCAGGAACCTGCTCACCGCACACCTCGCAGCAACACCGTCACACTGCCAACACAAGCACCAGAGTGCCCAGTTCCTCCACGCTAGCTGCCCCATTCATATCCAGCAAGGACACTTACCAAAGGACTGCTTTCTGGTTTCTTGT